TTTTTATGGCCACTCTTTTTTTAACCGGTCATGTTTTGATCGCCATTCATATTTTTTACCGGCCAATTTTTTTCACTTTTTTATGACCACTTTTTTTTTTACCAGCAAATTTTTTGTTTAATGGCCACTTTTTTTTAACCGTCACTTGTTTTGATGGCAATTTATCTTTTTACCGGCCAATTTTACTTTTTTTACGACTTTTTTTTTACCAGTCAATTAAATTTTTTACTGGTCTCTTTTTTTATGGGCCACCTACCACTCCGCCGCCACCGCCTCACGTGTGTGGCCAATTATTTTTCATGATCAATTTTTTGACTGGTCTTTCTTTTTTTACGGGCCAATTTTTTGTGGTCACTTTTTTAATGGCCATTCTTTTTAACGGTCACTTTTTTTATGGCCACTCTTTTAACCGGTCACTTTTTTGATCGCCATTCATCTTTTTTACCAGCCAATTTTTTCACTTGTTTATGACCACTTTTTTTACCAGTCAATTTTATTTTTGCTGGTCTCTTTTTTTACGGGCACTACCTCCTCCTCCGCCGCCTCCGCTTCCGCCGCCTCCGCCTCCACCACCGCCTCCACCGCCTCCGCTCCACGCCGCCTCCGCGCGCCGCCTCGGCCACACCGCCGCCTCCGCCGCGCCGCCTCCACCTCCGCGCCGCCGCCGCCACCACCTCCTCACTTTGTGTGATGGCCAATTGTTTTTTATTGACCATTTTTTTGATGGTCTCTTTTTTTACGGGCCAATTTTGTGGTCACTTTTTTAATGGCCATTCTTTTTGAAAACGGTCACTTTTTTAGGGCCACTCTTTTTTAACCGGTCACTTTTTTGATCGCCATCATCTTTTTTACCAGCCAATTTTTTTTTTTTTATGACCACTTTTTTTTACAGCAAATTTTTTTGTTTAATGGCCACTTTTTTTTAACCCGTCACTTTTTTGATGGCAATTTATCTTTTTACGGCCAATTTTTACTTTTTTTTACGACTTTTTTTTACCAGTCAATTAAAATTTTTACTGGTCTCTTTTTTATGGGCCACCTACCACCTCCGCCGCCACCACTCACTTTTGTGTGATGGCCAATTATTTTTCATTGATCAATTTTTTGACTGGTCTTTCTTTTTAGGCCAATTTTTTGTGGTCACTCTTTTTTAATGGCCATTCTTTTTAACCGGTCACTTTTTTATGGCCACTCTTTTTTAACGGTCACTTGTTTTGATCGCCCATCATCTTTTTTACCAGGCCAATTTTTTTCACTTTTCTTTATGCCCACCCTTTTTTTTACCCGCAATTTTTTTTGTGTAATGGCCACTTTTTTTTAACCCGTACACATGTTTATGGCAATTTCATCTTTTTTACGGCCAATTTTTAACTTTTTTTACGCACTTATTTGTTTTTACCAGTCAATTAATTTTTTTACTGGTCTCTATCTCTTTTTTTATGGGCACCCTACCACCTCCGCCGCCACGCCCATCCTTTGTGGATGGCCATTTATTTTTCATTGATCCAATTTTTTTGACTGGTCTTTCTTTTTTACGGGCCAATTTTTTTGTGGTCACTCTTTTTTAATGGCCATTCTTTTTTAACGGTCACTTTTTTTTATGGCCACTGTTTTTTTTTAACGGTCACTTTTTTTGATCGCCATTCATCTTTTTTACCAGCCATTTTTTTTCACTTTTTTTATGACACTTTTTTTTTTTTACCAGCAATTTTTTTGTTTAATGGCCACTTTTTTTTAACCCTGTCACTTTTTTTGATGGCAATTTATCTTTTTACGGCCAATTTTTTACTTTTTTTAGACTTTTTTTTTTACCAGTCAATTACATTTTTTATGGTCTCTTTTTATGGGCTACCACCTCCGCCGCCACCGCCTCACTTGTGTGTGGCCAATTATTTTTTCATGATCAATTTTTTTGGGTCTTTCTTTTTTAAGGGCAATTTTTTGTGGTCACTCTTTTTTTAATGGCCATTTTTTAACCGGTCACTTTTTTTATGGCCACTCTCTTTTAACCGGTCACTTTTTTTGATCGCCATTCATCTTTTTTACCGGCCAATTTTTTTCATTTTTTTATGACCACTTTTTTTTTTACCAGTCAATTTATTTTTGCTGGTCTCTTTTTTACGGGCCACCTACCTCCTCCTCCGCCGCCTCCGCTTCCGCCGCCTCGCCTCCACCACCGCCTCCAACCGCCTCGCCTCCACCGCGCCTCCGCCGCCTCGGCCTCCACCGGCTCCGCCGCCGCGCCTCCACCTCCGCCGCCACCGCCTCACTTTGTGTGATGGCCAATTATTTTTTCATTGATCAATTTTTTTTGACTGGTCTTTCTTTTTTTACGGGCCAATTTTTTGTGGTCATCTTTTTTTAATGGCCATTCTTTTTTAACCCGGTCACTTTTTTTATGGCCACTCTTTTTTTAACCGGTCACTGTTTTGATCGCCATTCATCTTTTTTACCAGCCAATTTTTTTCACTTTTTTTATGACCACTTTTTTTTTACCAGCAAATTTTTTGTTTAATGGCCACTTTTTTTAACCCGTCACTTTTTTTATGGCATTTATCTTTTTTACCGGGCAATTTTTGTACTTTTTTTACGACTTTTTTTTACCAGTCAATTACATTTTTTTACTGGTCTCTTTTTTTTATGGGCCACCTACCACCTCCCCGCCACCGCCTCACTTTGTGTGATGGCCAATTATTTTTTCATTGATCAATTTTTTGACTGGTCTTTCTTTTTTTACGGGCCAATTTTTTGTGGTCACTCTTTTTTAATGGCCATTCTTTTTTAACCGGTCACTTTTTTTATGGCCACTCTTTTTTTAAAACCGGTCACTGTTTTTGATCGCCATCATATTTTTTACCGGCCAATTTTTTTCACTTTTGTTTATGACACTTTTTTTTTTTACCAGCAAATTTTTGTTTAATGGGCCACTTTTTTTTAACCCGTCACTTTTTTTGGATGGCAATTTATCTTTTTTTACCGGCCATTTTTTACTATTTTTTACGACTTTTTTTTTACCAGTCAATTACATTTTTTTACTGGTCTCTTTTTTTTATGGGCCACCTACCACCTCCGCCGCCACCCGCCTCACTTTGTGTGATGGCCAATTATTTTTTCATTGATCAATTTTTTGACGGTCTTTCTTTTTTTACGGGCCAATTTTTTTGTGGTCACGTCTCTTTTTTAATGGCCATTCTTTTTTAACCGGTCACTTTTTATGGCCACTCTTTTTTTAACCGGTCACGTTTTTTTGATCGCCATTCATCTTTTTTACCGGCCAATTTTTTTCACTTTTTTTATGACCACTTTTTTTTTTACCAGTCAATTTTATTTTTGCTGGTCTCTTTTTTTACGGGCCACCTACCTCCTCCTCCGCCGCCTCCGCTTCCGCCGCCTCCGCCTCCACCACCGCCTCCACCGCCTCCGCCTCCACCGCCGCCTCCGCCGCCTCCGCCGCCTCGGCCTCCACCGCCGCCTCCGCCGCCGCCGCCTCCACCTCCGCCGCCGCCTCCGCCGCCACCACCTCCTCACTTTGTGTGATGGCCAATTGTTTTTTATTGACCAATTTTTTTTTGACTGGTCTCTTTTTTTACGGGCCAATTTTTTGTGGTCACTTTTTTTAATGGCCATTCTTTTTTAACCGGTCACTTTTTTATGGCCACTCTTTTTTTAACCGGTCACTTTTTTTGATCGCCATTCATCTTTTTTACCAGCCAATTTTTTTTCACTTTTTTTTATGACCACTTTTTTTTACCAGCAAATTTTTTTGTTTAATGGCCACTTTTTTTTAACCCGTCACTTTTTTTGATGGCAATTTATCTTTTTTACCGGCCAATTTTTTTACTTTTTTTACGACTTTTTTTTTACCAGTCAATTACATTTTTTTACTGGTCTCTTTTTTTTATGGGCCACCTACCACCTCCGCCGCCACCGCCTCACTTTGTGTGATGGCCAATTATTTTTTCATTGATCAAGTTTTTTTTGACTGGTCTTTCTTTTTTTACGGGCCAATTTTTTGTGGTCATTCTTTTTTTAATGGCCATTCTTTTTTAACCGGTCACTTTTTTTATGGCCACTCTTTTTTTAACCGGTCACTGTTTTTGATCGCCATTCATCTTTTTTACCGGCCAATTTTTTTCACTTTTTTTATGACCACTTTTTTTTTTACCAGCAAATTTTTTGTTTAATGGCCACTTTTTTTAACCCGTCACTTTTTTTGATGGCAATTTATCTTTTTTACCGGGCAATTTTGTTACTTTTTTTTACCAGTCAATTACATTTTTTTACTGGTCTCTTTTTTTTTATGGGCCACCTACCACCTCCGCCGCCACCGCCTCACTTTGTGTGATGGCCAATTATTTTTTCATTGATCAATTTTTTTGACTGGTCTTTCTTTTTTTACGGGCCAATTTTTTGTGGTCACTCTTTTTTTAATGGCCATTCTTTTTTAACCGGTCACTTTTTTTATGGCCACTCTTTTTTTAACCGGTCACTGTTTTTGATCGCCATTCATCTTTTTTACCGGCCAATTTTTTTCACTTTTTTTATGACCACTTTTTTTTTTACCAGCAATTTTTTTGTTTAATGGCCACTTTTTTTTAACCCTTCACTTTTTTTGATGGCAATTTATCTTTTTTACCGGGCAATTTTGTTACTTTTTTTTACGACTTTTTTTTTACCAGTCAATTACATTTTTTTACTGGTCTCTTTTTTTTTATGGGCCACCTACCACCTCCGCCGCCACCGCCTCACTTAGTGTGATGGCCAATTATTTTTTCATTGATCAATTTTTTTTGACTGGTCTTTCTTTTTTTACGGGCCAATTTTTTGTGGTCACTCTTTTTTTAATGGCCATTCTTTTTTAACCGGTCACTTTTTTTATGGCCACTCTTTTTTTAACCGGTCACTGTTTTTGATCGCCATTCATCTTTTTTACCGGCCAATTTTTTTCACTTTTTTTATGACCACTTTTTTTTTACCAGCAAATTTTTTGTTTAATGGCCACTTTTTTTAACCCGTCACTTTTTTGTATGGCAATTTATCTTTTTTACCGGGCAATTTTGTTACTTTTTTTTACGACTTTTTTTTTTACCAGTCAATTACATTTTTTTACTGGTCTCTTTTTTTTTATGGGCCACCTACCACCTCCGCCGCCACCGCCTCACTTTGTGTGATGGCCAATTATTTTTTCATTGATCAAGTTTTTTTTGACTGGTCTTTCTTTTTTTACGGGCCAATTTTTTGTGGTCATCTTTTTTTAATGGCCATTCTTTTTTAACCGGTCACTTTTTTTTATGGCCACTCTTTTTTAACCGGTCACTGTTTTTGATCGCCATTCATCTTTTTTACCGGCCAATTTTTTTCACTTTTTTTATGACCACTTTTTTTTTACCAGCAAATTTTTTGTTTAATGGCCACTTTTTTTAACCGTCACTTTTTTTTATGGCAATTTATCTTTTTTTACCGGGCCAATTTTTTGATCTTTTTTTTGACGACTTTTTTTTTACCAGTCAATACATTTTTTTACTGGTCTCTTTTTTTTTTAGGGCCACCTACCACCTCCGCCGCCCACCGCCTCACTTTGTGTGATGGCCAATTATTTTTTCATTGATCAATTTTTTTGACTGGTCTTTCTTTTTTTACGGGCCAATTTTTTTTGTGGTCACTCTTTTTTTAATGGCATTCTTTTTTAACGGTCACTTTTTTTATGGCACTCTTTTTTTTAACCGGTCACTTTTTTTTGATCGCATTCATCTTTTTTACCAGGCCAATTTTTTTCACGTTTTTTTTATGACCACTTTTTTTTTACCAGCAATTTTTTGTTTAATGGCCACTTTTTTTTAACCCGTCACTTTTTTTGATGGCAATTTATCTTTTTACCGGCAATTTTGTTACTTTTTTTACGACTTTTTTTTTACCAGTCAATTAACATTTTTTACTGTCTCTTTTTTTTATGGGCCACCTACCACCTCCGCCGCCACCGCCTCATTTTGTGTGATGGCCAATTATTTTTTCATTGATCAATTTTTTTGACTGGTCTTTCTTTTTTTACGGGCCAATTTTTTGTGGTCACTCTTTTTTAATGGCCATTCTTTTTTAACCGGTCACTTTTTTTATGGCCACTCTTTTTTTAACCGGTCACTGTTTTTGATCGCCATTCATCTTTTTTACCGGCCAATTTTTTTCACTTTTTTTATGACCACTTTTTTTTTTACCAGCAATTTTTTGTTTAATGGCCACTTTTTTTTAACCCGTCACTTTTTTTGATGGCAATTTATCTTTTTTACCGGCAATTTTGTACTTTTTTTACGACTTTTTTTTTACCAGTCAATTAAATTTTTTTACTGGTCTCTTTTTTTTTATGGGCCACCTACCACCTCCGCCGCCACCGCCTCACTTTGTGTGATGCCAATTATTTTTCATTGATCAAGTTTTTTTTGACTGGTCTTTCTTTTTTTACGGGCCAATTTTTTGTGGTCACTCATTTTATTAATGGCCATTCTTTTTTAACCGGTCACTTTTTTTATGGCCACTCTTTTTTAACTCGGTCACTGTTTTGATCGCCATTCATCTTTTTACCGGCCACTTTTTTTCACTTTTTTTATGACCACTTTTTTTTTACAGCAAATTTTTTGGTTTAATGGCCACTTTTTTTTTAACCCGTCACTTTTTTTTGAGGGCAATTTATCTTTTTTACCGGGCCAATTTTGTACTTTTACGACTTTTTTTTTACCAGTCAATTACATTTTTTTTACTGGTCTCTTTTTTTTATGGGCCACCTACCACCTCCGCCGCCACCGCCTCACTTTGTGTGATGGCCAATTATTTTTTCATTGATCAATTTTTTTGACTGGTCTTTCTTTTTTTACGGGCCAATTTTTGTGGTCACTCTTTTTTAATGGCCATTCTTTTTTAAACCGGTCACTTTTTTATGGCCACTCTTTTTTTAACCGGTCACTGTTTTTGATCGCCATTCATCTTTTTTACCGGCCAATTTTTTTCACTTTTTTTATGACCACTTTTTTTTTACCAGCAATTTTTTGTTTAATGGCCACTTTTTTTAACCCGTCACTTTTTTTGATGGCAATTTATCTTTTTTACCGGGCAATTTTGTTACTTTTTTTTACGACTTTTTTTTTACCAGTCAATTACATTTTTTTACTGGTCTCTTTTTTTTTATGGGCCACCTACCACCTCCGCCGCCACCGCCTCACTTTGTGTGATGGCCAATTATTTTTTCATTGATCAATTTTTTTGACTGGTCTTTCTTTTTTTACGGTCCAATTTTTTGTGGTCACTCTTTTTTTAATGGCCATTCTTTTTTAACCGGTCACTTTTTTATGGCCACTCTTTTTTTAACCGGTCACTTTTTTTGATCGCCATCATCTTTTTACCAGCCAATTTTTTTCACTTTTTTTATGACCACTTTTTTTTTTTACCAGCAATTTTTTTGTTTAATGGCCACTTTTTTTAACCCTTCACTTTTTTTGATGGACAATTTATCTTTTTTACCGGGCAATTTTGTTACTTTATTTTTTACGACTTTTTTTTTTACCATCAATTACATTTTTTTACTGGTCTCTTTTTTTTATTGGGCCACCCTACCCCTCCGCCGGCCACCGCCTCACTTTGTGTGATGGCCAATTATTTTTTCATTGATCAAGGTTTTTTTGACTTGTCTTTCTTTGTTTTACGGTCCCAATTTTTTGTGGTCACTTATTTTTTAATGGCCATTCTTTTTTAACCCGGTCACTTTTTTATGTCCAACTCTTTTTTTAATCGCGTCACTTTTTTTGAATCGCCTTCATCTTTGTTACCGGCCAATTGTTTTTCCTTTTTTTATGGAACCCCTTTTTTTGTTACAGCAATTTTTTTTTGTTTAATGGCCACCTTGTTTTACCCGTCACTTTTTTGATGGCCAATTTATCTTTTTTACCGGGCAATTTTTGTACTTTTTTTACGACTTTTTTTTTTACCAGTCAATTAAATTTTTTACTGGTCTCTTTTTTTTTATGGGCCACCTACCACCTCCGCCGCCACCGCTCACTTTTGTGTGATGGCCAATTATTTTTTCATTGATCAATTTTTTGACTGGTCTTTCTTTTTTTACGGGCCAATTTTTTGTGGTCACTCTTTTTTTAATGGCCATTCTTTTTTAACCGGTCACTTTTTTTATGGCCACTCTTTTTTTAACCGGTCACTGTTTTTGATCGCCATTCATCTTTTTTACCGGCCAATTTTTTTCACTTTTTTTATGACCACTTTTTTTTTTACCAGCAAATTTTTTGTTTAATGGCCACTTTTTTTTACCCTTCACTTTTTTTGATGGCAATTTATCTTTTTTACCGGGCAATTTTGTTACTTTTTTTTACGACTTTTTTTTTTACCAGTCAATTACATTTTTTTACTGGTCTCTTTTTTTTTATGGGCCACCTACCACCTCCGCCGCCACCGCCTCACTTTGTGTGATGGCCAATTATTTTTTCATTGATCAATTTTTTTTGACTTGGTCTTTCTTTTTTACGGTCACAATTTTTTGTGGTCACTTTTTTTAATGGCCATTCTTTTTTAACCGGTCACTTTTTTATGGCCAATCTTTTTTTTTAACCGGTCACTTTTTTTGATCGCCATCATCTTTTTTACCAGCCCAATTTTTTTTCACTTTTTTTATGACCCACTTTTTTTTTACCAGCAACTTTTTTTGTTTAATGGCCACTTTTTTTTAACCCTTCCCTTTTTTTTGATGGCAATTTATCTTTTTACCGGGCAATTTTTGTACTTTTTTTTTACGACCTTTTTTTTACCAGTCAATTACATTTTTTTACTGGTCTCTTTTTTTTTATGGGCACCTTACCACCTCCGCCGCCACCGCCTCACTTTGTGTGATGGCCAATTATTTTTTCATTGATCAAGTTTTTTGACTGGTCTTTTCTTTTTTTACGGGCCAATTTTTTGTGGTCATTCTTTTTTTAATGGCCATTCTTTTTTAACCGGTCACTTTTTTTATGGCCACTCTTTTTTTAACGGTCACTTGTTTTTGATCGCCATTCATCTTTTTTTACCAGGGCCAATTTTTTTTCACTTTTTTTCATGACCACTTTTTTTTACCAGCAAATTTTTGTTTAATGGCCACTTTTTTTAACCCGTCACTTTTTTTATGGCAATTTATCTTTTTTACCGGCCAATTTTTTACTTTTTTTACGACTTTTATTTTTACCAGTCAATTAAAATTTTTTTACTGGTCTCTTTTTATGGGCCACCTACCACCTCCGCCGCCACCACCTACTTTGTGTGATGGCCAATTATTTTTTCATTGATCAATTTTTTGATGGTCTTTCTTTTTTTACAGGCCAATTTTTGTGGTCACTCTTTTAATGGCCATTCTTTTTTAACCGGTCACTTTTTTATGGCCATCTTTTTTAACGGTCACTGTTTTGATCGCCATTCATCTTTTTTACCGGCCAATTTTTTCACTTTTTTATGACCACTTTTTTTTTACCAGCAAATTTTTTTAATGGCCACTTTTTTTAACCCGTCACTTTTTTGATGGCAATTTATTTTTTACCAGCCAATTTTTTATTTTTTTACGACTTTTTTTTACCAGTCAATTAAATTTTTTTACTGGTCTTTTTTTTATGGGCCACCTACCACCTCCGCCGCCACCGCCTCATTTTGTGTGATGGCCAATTATTTTTTCATTGATCAATTTTTTGATGGTCTTTCTTTTTTACGGGCCAATTTTTGTGGTCACTCTTTTTAATGGCCCTTTTTTAACGGTCACTTTTTTATGGCCACTCTTTTTTTAACCGGTCACTGTTTTGATCGCCATTCATCTTTTTACGGCCAATTTTTTCACTTTTTTTATGACCACTTTTTTTTTACCAGCAAATTTTTGTTTAATGGCCATTTTTTTAACCGTCACTTTTTTGATGGCAATTATCTTTTTTACCGGCAATTTTTTACTTTTTTTACGACTTTTTTTTTACCAGTCAATTAAATTTTTTACTGGTCTCTTTTTTTTATGGGCCACCTACCACCTCCGCCGCCACGCCTCATTTGTGTGATGGCCAATTATTTTTCATTGATCAATTTTTTGACTGGTCTTTCTTTTTTTACGGCGCCAATTTTTTGTGGTCACTCTTGTTTTACTGCCATTCTTTTTTAACCGGTCACTTTTTTTTTATGGCCACTCTTTTTTTAACCGCGGTCACTGTTTTTGATCGCCATTCATCTTTTTTACCGGCCAATTTTTTTTCACTTTTTTTATGACCACTTTTTTTTTTACCAGCAAATTTTTTGTTTAATGGCCACTTTTTTTTTAATCCCGTCACTTTGTTTTTGATGGCATTTATCTTTTTTACCGGGCAATTTTTTTACTTTTTTGTTCCGACTTTTTTTTTTACCAGTCAATTACATTTTTTTACTGGTCTCTTTTTTTTTATGGGCACCTACCACCTCGCCGCCACCGCCTCATTTTGGTGATGGCCAATTATTTTTTCATTGATCAATTTTTTGACTGGTCTTTCTTTTTTACGGGCCAATTTTTGTGGTCACTCTTTTTTTAATGGCCATTCTTTTTTAACGGTCACTTTTTTTATGGCACTCTCTTTTTAACCGGTCATTTTTTGATCGCCATCTTTTTACGGCAATTTTTTCACTTTTTTATGACACTTTTTTTTTTACCAGTCAATTTTATTTTTGCTGGTCTCTTTTTACGGGCCACCTACTCCCTCGCCCGCCTCGCTTCCGCCGCCTCCGCCTCCACCACCGCCTCCAGCCTCCGCTCCACCGCCGCCTCCGCCGCCTCCGCCGCCTCGGCCTCCACCGCCGCCTCCGCCGCCGCCGCCTCCACCTCCGCCGCCGCCTCCGCCGCCACCACTCTCACTTTGTGTGATGGCCAATTGTTTTTATTGACCAATTTTTTTTGACTGGTCTCTTTTTTACGGGCCAATTTTTTGTGGTCACTTTTTTTAATGGCCTTCTTTTTAACCGGTCACTTTTTATGGCCACTCTTTTTTTGAACCGGTCACTTTTTTGATCGCCATTCATCTTTTTACCAGCCAATTTTTTTCACTTTTTTTATGACCACTTTTTTTACCAGCAAATTTTTTGTTTAATGGCCACTTTTTT